CTGGTAGTTATTATACTGAATGAAATGATTATCAGTGTTTATTGCATGTAATGAATATATATACCTGTTTTAGGATATTATAATAGCACACAATGCACTTTATAAGATGGTAGTTAACAAACAGAACACATTAATTTACAAAAAAGGTGTTTGCAGTGTATATATTTGTTATTTGACCACCTGGAAGCTGGCAACCCTAAAATGAAGTTCAATGCAGGTAAGGGTCAGGTGATGTACACTGCAACAAAGAAAATTCTAGTTTTATATGTATGTTGATGGGGTCTGAACTGGATGTCCCCAAGATCAAAGGAAATCTTGGGGTTGTAGAGGAAAGCTCAGTGAAAGTGACAACTCAGGCTGTGGTCAGACAAGATGTTAGATCCGACTTTGTTGCTGTTGCCCTGCGGATTTAAAATGCAGGTTCGGACAGCAACATCTGCCTCCTGTCCCCTAGTTGTTGGCACCCCGTACTCACCCATCTTCAAGTTGGAGTTCCTAGACACCGGGAAAGTCCGGTCTTTACGGATTTTCACGGACTCACCCCGCATTTCTGGATGTACGATCACTCTGCCACAAAATGAAGCCACACACACAGTTCTGTCTAGCCACCATTTTTTAACTTCAGTTAGTGATGTGTGCATAAGTGCACATTCGTCCCGAGCTATTCTGTCGGTATCAGGAGGAACCCCCAGGGGGAGTTGTGTTTGGGCAATGACTCCCCCTAAAGAATCCCTCTCTTCTGTGTTTGCGGTAGGACAGGGTTGGAAATACTCTCTGTTAAGGCTCCCATATAGGCGTCCGTAGGTTCCTGGTTTGCTTCTGCACATGCATGATTTTCTGAAAATTTGAAAAAAAATGCTGCCAGCCGTCCGTTTCATGGGTGCTGCACAGCGAACATCTGGATATTCACCAACCATGGTGGGTGCACAGTGAAGAGGGCAGAGAGTCAGATGTATGATTGAAAATCCCTACGATTAAAAACCCTGAATCAAAAAAGAGACACAATCACAACACGATAGCACACCATCTGACCGCAGCCACAGTGTGCTGCATTGGTGATCGACGCGTGCACCATAAGCCTGTACTGTAATGCCCTTCTATAGACCTATGGTGTTGCCTCATTTGGAATACCACAGTTCTAGTTGCTATACTGTGTACTATACTGTGTACAAAAATTCAGGTGGGTAGCCATGTTGGTCTGAAGCAGCAGAACAAAGTTTGAGTCCAATAGCACCTTTGAGACCAACAAAGTTTGATTCAAAGTGTAAGCTTTCGTGTGCAAAGCACACTTCTTCAGAAAAATGGAACAAAATTTCCTAAAGGATTATTTACAGGGAAAAAGAGGGTGGGAGGCAGCCATTAAGAGGGGCTGCTCAGAGCCCACATGCATGTGCAGTGCTGAAATTGGATCAGGTGGCCCGTAAGATCAATGGATGGCAGCAAATTAGCACGTAAATGCAAGAGTTAACAAAAAGATGTGAGAATGAGCTGGGGGAAAGTGCAGAAGAGGGCACCCAAAACGCTAAGGGGGTGGTGCCTTTCCGATGAGGGAAAAGCTGGTCAGCCTTGTATTCAGAACATGAATATATGAGCCATAACCGAGTGGGGTTTTTTTGGTTTCGTCTTGTATTCAGGACAGGAATATACGAGCTGTAACTGAGTGGTTACATGACCTCATCTGCTAGATGTCAACCGGAGTTGAACAACGTTTTTTTTAAGCATCTCTGGAACATACAATGGCTGCAGTCCACCAGAGAATTCCCAGTTTGTTAAAAAAATGTACACACACATCTTTTTTATCTATGTGTAGTGCTTTCTAGATTCTTGGCCAGGTTAGCTGAATGGGAGAGGGGGCTAAGAACTCAAAGTCAAGAGTCTAGAAGAGTTTGCCAAATAACTTTTATTTTCAAAAAGGGTCTGCAGTTAACTGGTAGTGGCAGTGGTGGGACCGGCCACTGCACTGCTTGCATGGGACACCTGCCCTTATTGGGGCATCCAATGGATAGGTGTGCCCATCAAGTGGTACCTTGACAAGAGCCCTGCAAGACCGGTCAGAAGAGATGTGTCTCCATCCATAAAATGCAAACTGTGGGCTTGTGCAGCTTCTATTTGCCTTGAGGACTGCTCAGGGAAAGGGACAATGGTTTTAACCCTTCAACCTCTGTGTGGTTTCACAATTCAGTATTAGCTCCCCTGTTCTGCATTTGAACAAAAATGTTCTTTTAAAATCTAATGGGGGGGGGGACCTTGGACATCTAGATTAGAGTGGGTGTAAGGGGGTTATCTGGTGCACCATATGCAGCCAGCGATGGCCAGTTTGGAGTCAATACTTTCTCTATCTAGCAGCTACTCTGAAATGTGCACGCGCTTTCATTAAGGCAAGCTTTCTTTCCCCTAATCGCTGCTAATAGGAGAGATGCATCTTCTCACCATGCCTCTAATGAAAGATTAGAGATCGTTGCAGAGCCTTTGAAAACCGGACCCAAATTGTATCAAAGCGCACCAGCCGGGACTGAGACATTCCCATTGGCTGAGTTTCTTTTACAGCCCAGCGGCTAATTTCTAAAGCGTACAAGCCAATTACGCCCAAATTCTTTTGTGGGCAGCTTAATGATGATGGGGGCCGAAAAGGACACTTTAAATGGTTAGGAACACCTTTAGGCTGCAAAGATATAATTGGGATGACAGACACAATTAGCCATTCATAATTCCTCATAGCAGCTGATTAAAGTCTCTTTATCCTGCTTACTGAGATCAAAAGGTCACATAGTTGGGAAATGCAAAATGAATTAAGACGGTCAGGCTCTTCTCTTGGGGTATCCCTCGATAGAAGACATTTGCTTTCTTTTTCGTTAGGTAAAACCATGCTTTTAAAAAATTTTATCCAGGAGTCTAATAATCTATTAGTTCTGGGTCTACAGAAATAGTGGAGTAGGATACTGTTAGGGAAACGCTTACATCCTTGATTGGGCATCTGCATTTTGTTGCCTGAGAAAACCGACAGTCGTGGGAGATCTTCGACTAATGAACTTGTTGTGGCATCAATTCGCCTGCAATTAACCCGGCGGTCAAGTTCTGCCCCGACACGTCAGTGTTAAAAGTTTGGTGTTGCTCTTCATTTCTGTATCCTGCCACCTGGAGTTATCATGGTTCAGTTTAAATAAGAGTTTTGATCGCAAGTTTTACACAGGGTACAAATGAACATTTCTAACAGCATTATCAGTACCCTTGAGGTCTGCCTCCAATTCAGGTATTGACAGAGTGCAAACCCATCCTGCCTGTTATCTGCTCCTAATCTGTGTCCTTGAGTAGAATGGCCATTTGATGCGGCTGGGTGGCTCTGGTGTGCTCAGTCCAGTTTGAACTGGCCAACTTTCAAGATGTGAACAAACTGGGTCAGTCTTATGTTTTGTTTGTTACTCCAGATTGACAGGGAAATCATCAGTGTCTCGAACACTGTGAGCACACCAGGCTCCTGTTTGTGCTCAGCCTGTGTTTTCAGCATATACAACACAGCTATTTAACTTACTTTATGCTATTAAACTTTTTTATTTTTGTTGTGGCTGGCTGGACTTCCAGGGAAATGCACGTATGACCCATTGTTTTGTTAACCAAAGGTGTTCTGCACGGGGACAGGTTTTAGTTTTGCTGTGATTGTCGGCAAGGTATAGTGATTCCAGTCGCAAGACTAGGATCTGGGAGTATTTTCAACTACCAATGCATCCGGTGATATTGTGTTTTAAGTGGATAACTATGTAATTTTATCGCACTTGTGTGCCTAAATTATTTTAATGTGTTATATTTTATTGCACTGTTGTGCCGTGTAAGCCGTCCTGAGCCCGCATGCAGGGAGGGCGGGGTATAAATGAAATAAATAAATAAATAAATAAATCTCCACTCTGTCATAGAGAGACCTAGGGTGTCACATGTTATTGTTTTGGGGGTGGGTTTTTTTTGCCAAATCTACCTTACAGAGTTGTTGTGAGGGTAAAACGGAGAAGGGGACAATGTTGTAAACTCCATTGGGGAGAAAAGTGGGTATAAACAAATAGCTGTTGTGTTTGCATAGGTATTTGCAATGGAGCCTTCATGGGGGGGGGTTCCCTGCATGCTCTCTGCTTGTGCCCCCCCATTTCCCCCTGCCTCTCACCCCACTTTTGCCAGTGGAAAGGGAGACAGGGGGCTTTTTTGCTCCTTTTCTCTGGCTTCCCATGTCCTTCCTAAGGCATGTGGAAAGGGGCAAAAGGGCCCCTCCATGCCATTTCCACCAGCAAAAGCAGGGTGGGAGGGAAACTGGGAGCTTCTTCTGTCCCTCCCCCCTTACAGCATCAAGCAAATGAGTGCTTTTTAAGGTGAATTTCCCCAATTTACATCTGACTGAGAATCCAGTTGTGCGGTTGTGAGCAGACATGGGTTGGGGTGGGGTGTACTATGTAGTTTGGCCTTTAGATTTGCACCTCCAGCTACCAGTGAGACCTTGGTGTGCAGCGAAGCCTTTCCCACTTGTGGTGGTACTTCTGGGCCCCTCCGCTGCTCCCTGGAACTGCTGGTGTTTGACTTTCTGTTTGTTTGTTGACGCCTCCCTGCAGAATCTCAAGCTGGGCTGCGATTTCATTTTAAACCGCTCTAGAGCTGGACATGCTAATTGAATTGAGCAACCACTGGAGGAAACTTGCTCTGAACCCACCCAGTCTCATTTTTAAACCCCTTTTTGAAAAATTGTGCCTTTTCCAGACTTGAATTGTAGGCTGATCTGCCTTCTGATTTTCTTTGAACCCCCACCCACCCAGTAAGGTCTCTGAAGGGTGGAAGGCTGGCCCCCTCCTGTCTGTTTTCCCCATCCTTCCTAGGTGGCCAGAAGACTCTCTGCAGATTTTGCCATGGAGCTGAAGTGATTCTTCCAAGAAGCTGGCTGAGAAACCTATCAACTTTTAATATCTACTGGAATCTCCTTCACTTCAAGTCCCATAAAACAAACAGTCATCCTTTCTGTTTCAGACATGGAAGAGCTGGCTAGAGAGAGCATCAGCTTGTTAGCCAAGCCTACCTTGGAGTCAGACAGCCCCAACCTCTCCTCAGCTGGGGCTGCCTT